CACCCCCTGCCTGACCGCTCTCCTCCTGTTCCCTCCAGCCCCTTGCAGGCTGGAACTCTGCCAGCCTGCAAGGGAAAACCCACCATTCCCCGCATTTTTCTCTTTTAAAGGTTTTTCTCCTTACAATGAGAAAATCTGGGCTTTACTGTGTTTTTCCATGGCAAATGGAAAACCGGGATCCCTGCATATCATAGATCTGTTGCTAAAACAAACAAGCAACCAAGGCTACATTTCAGAAATCATGGGCACTGCTTTCTTGGGAGAGGCAGGTGTTACACAGCAGTTTAAGCTACTCCTCAGATCACTCTTTCTGCTCTGTGCCAGGCCTGAGGGAGCTGCATTTTTGCTTGCCTTTAATAAGACATCCCTTTTTACCTATATCCTGGCTGGGCAGATTTTGGTAGCAGCCACCTGTTTGTTGGCATCATTTCTACTGGAAAAGGATGAATTCCTGTTGGTCTTTATTGCAAAGAGCTTTTCTGAACAAAGGGCTGTTTTTTTCACATCTACATGATGTGGTTTCAGAAAGAGGTATTTAGACAGAGCTAACAGATGCACATACATTTCCAAAGCAGGGTGTGGGACAGAGCAGCAGGACACTGCAACAATGTTAATGAGAGGTAAAGAAAGATTTAAGCAGTGTTTGACAAACTGATGGCTAACGCTCCTCTTTTCACCTTTCCTTCTCAATAATCCTCTTCTCCTACCTTATCTTGAGCCCCAGTGGGGTAAGAACAGCCTACTCCTGGGATCTCCTTCTGCGATTGTTGTGGCAGCCAGCTCATTTCCCTCTTGCATCTGTTACTCTGCCTGTAAATCACCCTGGAGTTTAGGATCATTAACTCGTCTCCCTAAATGGTCCTCCCAGTTGTCAGCACAGTGTGCTTCCGCTGCATCACCCATCTGACAACAGCCATTGTCAGTCACCATTTACAATGTCTGGGAAGGAAAATTATAGAAGGAAAATCTGTAGCTCAGTTAAGTTCTCAAAACAGCTTGTTCCATTCATGATGCAAAAAAGGGGCACCGCCAAAAGGGCAATAATCGGTTTAATAAACGGTAACAAACAAACAAAACCCAGGGACTGGAATTTCTTTAAAACAAGACTTTCTGAATTTCCCTTGTCACTGTTATTACAAACCTGCATAGCAGTGCGCAGTGCCATTCCAGTGTAAAAACATGGATGGTCACATCCAGTCCTTCAGACCTGTCCATCGATGGTAAGCAGCGCGTGGGAATGAGTCCGGAGGATGCGATACCAGGCATCCTGATTCTCATGAGAACAATCTGTTGCATTGTCTGAAGATGGCTCAGTGCGGAAGTCATTTAGCTTCTATTCACAGATTTCACTTTAAAAGGTTACACAAATCAGAAGAGTTAATGAATAAATACTGGCAGTACCCTGCACTTTAAAATCTCAAGATAAATGATGAACATTAATGAAATAAGCCATTTGCTGTGTCATGGGAGGTAGCACACAGGTGGTCTCAGGGGAAAAACAGAATTGGAGCCCAGGCTTCCTGTATCCTAATCCCATCCTTTAAAATATTGTTTTTATTTCTTTAGCATTTTCAAAAGCCTTTTTTTAAAAAAAAAAATTGACACTGTGCCCCTTTAATTTACCCTCATTAGTTTTCACCAATACAATCACAGCTGTGAAAATCTCTAGACAACAGTGCTCAGAATTGTGCCCTTTTAGGTGTGTATTCGGTCCTCGCTGCCATAACGTCTCACGCTCTTCAGTGTATTTATCCTCACAGCGCTTCTTTTCAGACAGGTGGGGGGGAAGTGCTGTAATCCCCATTTTACAGATGGGGCGCAGATAAAGCAAGGGTTGTCTTTACAGCAACATTTGGCTCATGTAATGACACTTAAATTACCCACTTGATCTAGCCTAGTTATTCCTGTGTTATGAGAGCGTGTGCTGCATTTCCTCCCCATGAGAAGCTGTGTTGGCAAAAAGAAGTTGCCTGGGACCGGGGTCCTGCCCAGACAGGTGCTGACGTCACTGTATCACTGGAGTACATCTGTACTAGCATCTTCCTGACAGCTGTTTGTCTGCTGAGGGCTTGTGTCACTGGAAAGGGATGTTTAATGCAGGGGGCAGAGAGGTTAGTTTTTGCCAGTTTCTATTACATTTTTGCGTGGATGCATGCAAACCTGCAGTGGTGAGGGGCAATTTCTGTCAATGGCATTATGTAGTATTGACCAGGGTTGTGAAACAACAGTGAAGCACCACAAAATGATCTGATTAGCAGCACAGCAATTAGAGTGATTGGATTACCAGAGTGATTTGATTATAAAAGATGGGCTGTTGCAACAGAACTGCTGAATCCCAACCCCGGTAGTGCAGTAGGGTTGGAGTGGTAATGTAGCTATGATGGTTCAAGGAAAAGTCCAGGGATTCTTAGTGATCTCTTTTATTGGACCAACTGCACAGGTGCAAGAGCTGTTGGACAAACTATTTGGCTTCAGGTGCCCTTACTCAGCCACACTAATGCTGGTATTAGTATCAGCAGCAGGCCAGGGGGCTTGACCTTAAAGTACCACTTAACTCGTGCAGAAAAAAATGTTATTACATCAACTTTTGTAACATGCCTTATGACTTTGGCAGGGAAAGCGGCGAGCAGGAGGAGGAGCCATCCAACTTTTTTATTAACCGGTTTTCAGGGTGGAATTAGTTTACTCTTAGGCATCTAAAGGTAGGATAGGATCTGGCCCAGGTTCACTTAGGAGGAACAGAGAACTGAGCACCAGTCTCCTTCCCACTACACTATCCTTCCTCTTCTACGCTGGATGGACGATGTTTAGTCTCTGGGTGTGGGAGCCCTGGAGTGGATTAGGTTTTTTTGGTCAAAACTCTGGCTGTATTTAAACTTGCTAGCTCCCTCTCTGGAAATACAGAGTGTGGCAGCTAAGCAGCAATTTGACATTTAGCCACAGGACTTAAAAACAGCCAAAAATAGATTAAAAAGAAAAAGAATATGGGGAAAAAGTGAGTATTCCAGCCAGGCTACAAATGCAGCTCTTAAAACACCAAGTCGGGTATCCAAAGGAAACAGCCAATCCCAGTGAGGTTTTTAAATGAACCTTTTATTCAATTGTGGCTGGCTATATAATATCATTGGTCTGAAAAATGATTCGTTACGAGTTGACAGCAGCTCTGCTGTTTGCCAGACTCTTGTCATTCGTGATTATTGTCAGGGTCCAACGTATTCCCATTGTTGTGTCCCAGCAGGCTGTGGCTAGCTGGGCTACTCTGATCTGAACAGAATGAATTGGAGTCTCTTGGGAAACTATTACAGCTGAGGACTTGTTCATCTTTATGTAAATCAGTCCAGACAACACATGCCCATTGCCTGCACTTGGTGAAGGAAGCCCTCCTGCTGAGCTCCTGCTGCTAACTAGACCTTACTCATTCGCACCCTAGATTGTGGGGTAGGCTTTTCTTCTCTGGGAGCTGTCTGCTCTTGTTTGGATGATACTGAGGCCTTTTGACCATTGGGGACCATCTAGTTGTATAGAAGGGGTATTGGGACTTTTTGTTTCTGCCACCGGCTTGCTGTGTGACCATTGGGCTAGAAGCTTATTTTCTTGTACCTCAACTTTCCCCTTGATATTCTGAACTAACTGAAAAGGATTAATTTAAATGCTGTGTTGAAATGTCTTTCATCCAAGAATTTCCAAGATGTTGCCTTATTGCTTTCATTTATAGAACTGTATAGGGAACTCAGACTGGCACCTGCCCATGTAGGGCTGGATTTCCAAAACAGCACAGCCTCTGTAACCTCCATTTTTCTCACCGGCGGCTGCTGAGGTGAGAATTCAAATTCTGGGCTGAATCCTGCACCATTGAAGTAATGGGAAATGCAGCATTCAGCAGGCTTATGATGAAGCCAGGACTGTGCCTGTTGTTCAGACATGGCTTTTTGTATAAGAGCTGTGGAAAGTGGCTTGCTTTTTTTGTAATTATTTAGTTTAGCTGAGCTTGGTTCACATTAGCACATCTAATGCAGCACAAAATGTTCAGTAGGAACTTCCCTCATTTGTCATATTTATCATCATGCAATGCCTGAACTCATTTAGCAAGAGCCCAACAATGACATTAGTGTTACAGTGATGACATCTTTTAGAGACCAGCATCCAGTTATTACAACACCTGTAGTGACACATGTACGACTTTGCTTTGATAATTCAACAGGGCTCCTGGACACTTTCCTTATGCATGTGCCCCCTCATCCCATGTTAGCAATTGCATTTCCCGCATGTCATTCAAAGTTCACTCTGCTTATGTCCTTTGTTTTTCAGGAACTAGCTAAGAGGACGCCCTCCAAGCATCCTGATCACCACGCGGTCCAGAATGCATTGCAGGCAATGAAGACTGTCTGCACAAATATCAATGAGACTAAGAGGCAGATGGAGAAGCTAGAAGCCCTTGAGCAGCTGCAGTCCCACATTGAAGGATGGGAGGTAGGATGGCAGATCAGCACACTCCCTGTAGGCACTTTACCCTACATCACTCAAAAGGCTGGAGCAGAATGACTCGCTGTGTACACGG